CGTCAACATCTTGGAAAACGCTATCAAATATTGCTTGTTTTGGTTCTTCCCCCCCCAAACCGTGGGATCGACCTAAATCGCTCCACAAGGGGAAGTTTGAAAGTAATCGCTGTGAAACAAACACGACCGGCCGTTTAAAATAGCTCCGATACGAGGACAAAAAAGAGGCGGCGTGTTTCCCGCCCCCCAGGGCAGTAAATCTGAAGTGGCAGTGACTCCGGAGGCTCCTTTTAACCCCTTGTGTGGTGTTCGGGTCTGTGGGACCCGTTTTCATTTGTTACTAAAAGAAAAATGATACAATGAATTAATTTTTCAAACTGAGACTCGCTGGCTTTGGCTCATTTTCTGTGAAGAACAAATACCAGAACACATATTTCATGCCCACACACCGTACACATTTCTATTACATATAAGATGTTAGGGTCCACTGGACCCGGGGCTAAAAGAAGTTCAATTCAATTAAATTTTATTTATATAGCGCCATATCACAACAGCAAACAGAGCAGGTCAGACCCTACTCTGAAGTTAATTACAGAAACCCAACAATTCCCACCATGAGCAAGCACTAGGCGACACAGGCAAGGAAAAACTGCCTTGGAAGTGTGGAAATTGATGTTCTGTGTACCCCACACACACACACGCACACACACACACACGCACACACACTCACAATGTTGCAACCTTGTGTGGGAACTGCAGGTGCACAAACACAAAAGAAACAGTTCCCACACATTGTTAATCTGCTCTAATTTGCTGTCTATCTGCTAAAAATTGGGGGCGGGGCCACAGTTTTTTCTTATAACCGATCAAAATGGCCGACAGGTCCTCTGCCCAGAGGGCCCTGGAATTGATTTTGGATGAGAGAGAGAGAAGTTAAGATAAGGTAAACATCTGTTCAGTGTTTTAATATAAAAGTGTTTTAATATAAAAGTGATTTTGAGGCATTAAAAGCCACAAAATGCAACGGGTCCGTCAGACCCACAAACACCGGTTGAGTAACAACAATATGAACACCACACAAGGGTTAAAACAGAGAGGACCCACAAAGGAGGGGGAGTGACGGCCCCCACAAACGCCACAAAGACACTTTTTTTACAGCGTTATTTGCCTCGAACGAGCTTTTTTTTGGCGTCACAATCCCGCCAGAGAGGCTAAACAATCGGCTAAACTGCGCTGAATCAAAGGATTTTCATTGAAATCTAACACAGCTCGGGTTTTTTAGTCAAGAGAAAAAGCTCGTTTTTTTTCCCCAAACGGCAGCAGACATCGAAGCTGGGGGACGCACACGATGAGCGTTTAGACATTTTGATACAAAACATGGAACAACTTGAAACCTGCCAACGGGGTTTGCCTGATTATCAACAGATCAACACAATGCTCAGCCTGGTTCTCCTGTGAGAGACACCGAATATAAAACAGCAGATCTGCCGAATAGAAACTTTGGGTTTTTAAGGGGTTTGAGCTCTGTTTTTACACTAAAGCAATTTAACAGGAAAAAGCATGCTGTGTGCCCCCTATTTGGTAGTAAATGTACCTTTAAACTCATCAAATCTGCATGATCTTTAACTAAATCCACTTTTTTGGTACCAAATTGAACCTTTAAACTCATCAAATCTGCAGGATCTTCAACTAAATCCACCTTTTGGTACCAAATCAAACCATTAAATCAATTTAATCTAGAGGAACTTTAACTAAATCCACCTTTTGGTACCAAATCAAA